CCCCAAAACCCCAAAACCCCAAAACCCCAAAACCCCGAAATATTAGGATTATGTTGATTTTTTTGTTAAGTTTAATGATATAAACTTCATTTGAAATAATATGAGCACTTTCAACTGTGCAAATCTAAAATAACTAGAAAATAATGCAATTTCAGCCTGCATCTTGATCTTCTTTCCCTTCAATGTTTAAAGATGATTGCTCTTCTTCTTGCATTTCTTGATCAACTTCATCTTTCTCTTCGATTCTCTCTGTTTGCTCTATCGGTAAGTAGAGAGAACAATTGATTTTATAATGGTTTAAAGAGAACTTTGACTTCAAAAATAAAATTCCTTTCTTCTCTATCAGCTTCCATTCTTGTCTTTGTTCAGGAAACTGAGCGTTTAGCTGATATATCCCGATCCAAGTGTACATTATGGACAACACTTCTTGCTGAGTAAATTTCAGTTTGAGCTTGGATGAAGCAGACTCATACACTTCATCTGAACTGTGGTCAATTAGAGATATGATCTTGTCATCCCAGGACCCATCAACATTCTGAATCTCCATGTATTCTTTGTATGTGTTGGAGGTTGGTATCTCATGAGTTTCTCCATCATAGTTAGGGTCTAAAGGCTGCTCACCTCCTCCCCCTCTGAGCCTAAGTACAAGATGAAAGGTACATCCATCCCTAGCTCCTACTTGACTGATAACATCTGTATCTCAGCACTATATTCGTTATTACCACTCACTTGATTCCCTCCAAAAAGAATCTTCTGTTGGTCTGGAGGTATGAATTCCATCTCTTGGATCATATTCTTGAGATCGATGATCATGTCTGAACTTTGGACTACTCACTCGAGCTGCTTTCCTGTCATAGTTTTGACTGTGACTGTCCATTCTGAAGACCCACAGAGTTTATTTACATTGGAATATTTAGCCTTTGAGTCTGTCATTAATTTCTTCATTGCTAAAGAAAAGTAGGATTATTAAATAATTCGTCACTATGTCAGAAAAGAAGGATTTTTTGTGAGGGGATATTTTATCAGATAAGGCTTACCTATTAAAGCAGTGTGCTTGCTAGGAATCTGGTACTCAGTGGCTAAACTAACAATGGCTTCTTTGTTGGCCCAGCTCTTGTCAAGATCTCTGATGTAGCTGCTTCAGAACATTTTGAAGATCGAGTCTCCTCCAATTAGCTTCACGTCCTCCTGCATGTTAAATAAGTATTTCTTCTTTTTAGTACCGAGCTTCATCGAAAGCTTGATTGACAGGGATCCTTCCAACTTGTCTTCAACATCATTGATGATGCAGAAATATGTAAAGTAGTCTCCGTTGAAGAGTCGAGAAGGAACCTTTTCTATTTCTGGGAATTGGTATTTCTTGTCTCCATTTGTGGCTAAGCCCATTTGTGAGATTACTATTTTATCTTCGAAGCATTTGCATAAGCTGTCAACAACTGTTTTCTCGAGGTCTTCTGTATAATTTTGGACAAAGTAGTATTTGCCACTGCCCGCTTTGGCACATTCAATGACTAATTGTGTGCTGACATAGTCTCCCACTCCAATAGTATGAACTGCAAAATTCTTCGCCTAAATTTTAAGGTAAGAATGAAAATCTATATTCTTAAGATTTTTCTAAGGTATTCCTTCTTTTCTGAAATTATTTTTAATTCGTTAGAGGAAAATTTTATTCCTAGAAATTTAGGAATTTATTGCAAAAATTAGTCTTTAAGCTTTGTTTAGTAAAGAAGGAATCTTAATTTAATTTAGAGAGTTATAAATAAGAATTTCATACTCTGTTTCAGCTTTCTCTAATCAAGTCTGAACATAATTGTGGACTGAATACTGCTCCATCAGTCAGGATGAAAACATGCTTCTCTAGTTCTGGATATTGATCTCTCTTTGAGAAGATTGCCTTTAAAGGCGAATAAATCTCTGTTCCACCTAAGTCTGCAGAAAACTGTTTGATTTTAATGATTGCTGATGAAAGTCTTGCTTGGTTGTAAGAGACGGTATCTGAAAATAATTTCTCAAATGTGCTTCCAAAAGAGATGATATTGAATCTTGAATTTGGTGGAAGACTATGTAAAAACAATATTAATGCACTCTTTGCTGTTTCCATAGGCCTTCCAGTCATCGAGTAGCTTCTGTCCAACAAGAATATGAACTCTGCTGGCTTCATTTGTTCTTCGAGCTTCTTCAGGTATCTTACTTTCGGATCCAAGTCCACTTTAGTGTTGCTGGTGATTCTGTGTTTGCTCGCCTTGTAATCTGGAGATATGTCTGCAAGCATGGAAACCATGAGAGCGTACTCAAGGCCTCTTTTCTGCATGAGCACCATGGGCTTGTTGATTTCATGATTCCGGTACAACAGCACGAAGTCTCTGTCGAAGAAAGTTGTCAGGCCTGGTTCAGCAAGCTCCACGAATGCATCTTTATTGGTTGGATCCAGAAAATCTACTTTGATATCATGTGAAGGACTGACCACACGATGGATCGAGCTTTGAGAGTTGATGCTGACTGTGATGCTCCAGTTAAAAGAAGAAGAGTTGTAATAAGCAGTGATATGCTCTATGATTTCTTCTAGTCGATCTTCAGGTGTGTCTTGATGCATATCCTGTGCCATATCTTTGAGATGCTGACCAGTCTTCCGATATTCGGTGAGATCTCCCATGTATCTTGGCATTATCTTTGAGGGGATATGAAGTTTCCAACTTAAATCATCTAAATAATTCGTCAAAGTTTTTGGTTAAATTGGCAAAGCAATGAAATTTAAAGACAGAGATATCCTACTAAATTTGTCAAAACGTACCAACTTCCATAGTCTGATGAAATGTGCAAATTATGATGATCTGGCTTTTTGGTGGCAAGTTCCCCATATCAATTCTATATGCAGCGTAAGATGATTTATAAAATCGTCTCTTATACATACCTGATCATATCCTGAGAATTTGTGGCTGGCTGTGCCATAAATGCTGTTTTCCCTTGTGCCACAGCATCATCATACTTGATTTTCGCTTTCCTGCGCTCTTCAACTGTGGCTTTAATGATTTCTTTCCCAAACCTGGCTTCGAAATCAGTGAATGTACAATCATTATGAACTGGAAAGAAATACATGGCTTCTACAGGCTCAGAACTGGGATTGAAATAGTACTGCACAAACTCGATCTTGGCAATATTGCTACTGATGCTCACAATATTCTCAGTAAAATACAAAGGAATACCTTCCTTCTTCTCTACTGTTACCAAAAAATCATTAATTTCTTCTCTAACAGTCTCTATTCTTGGCTCTTGTATCTCCATGAAAAAATTTATATTAGATATTAACCCCTCCCTCAATTTCTTTAAACACCCACGGGGTTTTGGGGTTTTGGGGTTTTGGGG